AGAGAGAGAGAGAGACCAGCCTTGAGCAGAGAGAGTCTCTGTCGCAAGGTGACATGGCGCTTCGGTAGCAGATGTGGGCGGATGAATCTTCTTTTCCATCTGCCTCCCCAATAGATCTCAGAAAGCTGGCGAGGGCGAACGCTTCCAAAAACAACAATGACTTTACTTGTACAGCACAGAAATCAAGACTTGAAACAAATTGCACAGAGCAAAAGATGAGATTCGATGAGGACGGCTGAATAAAAAAAGCAACCATTTATTCATTTTGAAAAGGTCCACAGAAAAGCTAGACTCTTGACAAGCTTTGATTTATTAAACGCAGTTGTAGGTGGAAAACATGTTGGTGGTGAAAAAATGAAGTATGCACGACGATAAATAAGTGGCCATTTCAGGTAATCTTAAGTTTTCAATTGCTAATTGAAAACCCCTTTCAAGTTAAAGATTAAAAATAACAAAAAATAATAATAAAACCACAGAGAATGCATTTAAAATGTGGCGCTGAGTTTTGTATGGAACCATATGAGTAGCAAAAGTCATTTTGAAATGTAATACGTTCTGTCACGATATCAGTTTTTTGTTGTACGATATATTGCAGCAAAATATATTGCGATAAATGATATTATTGTAATTTTAAGACCATTTTTATGCCACTCATTATTTAATGTCAGAATGACAATATAATATCATCACAATGCTAGTACACTCTTTCAAAGAACAAGTAGAATAGAATATTTCATTAAATTATAGTCATTTAAACTATTTAATTATTAGACATTGGAATCAGAATGTAAAACGCATATTCTAAATGAATAACAATAAATGATAACACAAAAAGTGCAAGATAAAAAGTTTAAGAGGCATGATATCTGCTATCAGATCTATTTTCAGTTGTCAGACACCCACATGAAAAAATACTATAGTAATTTATAGTAAATACTACAGTGTTTTTTAACCACATTGACACTGACACATCTAATAGAGACAAAGAGGTTGCATAATCAGCTAAAACATTGCTAGAATTGGTTTTTATGTACAGGCGATATATATTGCAACACCAAAAATGATTGAGATCATGTCTATGTGTTGTGCGATAAGTCAATATATTGATTATTGTGACAGGCCTAAATGTAATATGCAAAACTGCAATGCACTACGTAAAATGTAAATGTAATTTTTTATTTAAATTTGCATTCTCTGTGACATATGTAGAATCTGGTACAAAATTAAAAGATATAATTTACATTTACCATTTCCAGCAAAGGTTTTCTTTTGTCATCTCAATTACATACAAATTGAAAGGCTCTATAAGTTATTATAAATTGACATTGATTTAACGTGTGTAACATACAAGTAGAAATAGTACTAAAATAAACTTTCAATGTCATAGAAAATTTCAAAATGCATTCTTAGCCAAAGGTATAGCAACGATGCGTTAAATGAATTTTCACCTTCTTAAATCCAATTTCAATCAACAATGTGATGAATGTTGAGCTAAAGTGGCTTTAAAATGCATTCTCGTTATGACCAGTTAGATAATCATTCAATGAAATTAATAAAAAAATTATTTTCCTTCTCATATGCTTCCATAGTTTTTCTCAGTCATAAAAGATAATAAATGTACAATTTGACAATCTTTTTTTATTAGCTTTGCTTTAGATATTTAAAGATAGAGGTGTGAACCTATACTGGTCTCACGGTTCGGTTACGATTATCATGCCTTCGATTCAGTTCAATTCGATTTCTCGGTGCATCACAGTGCATTGACAATGCTTTTCATATAGAGTGTTATATTTTAGGGGGGAGGCTATAACAAGCTGTCTGTATAAACACAGACACACAGTACCACACTGTCTCTCATTCAAACACATACACAAACATAGACAGCACCAAAGAAACACACACACACACGCGCGCGCACACACACTTAAGCCCTCGCAACAGGGAGAGCTCGCACTGAGCGGAGCAGAAAAACTAAAAAAAAGAAGCACTTTTCCGACGGTCCCTTACTGAGAGCTCCTCTCAGCGCAAGCTCTCCCAGCTAAACACATATTGCGAGGGCTTAAACGGAGCAGTGCTCGTAATGTCGAGCGGAAAAAAAAGAAAGACAGCTGTGAAACATAATCAGCTTTGTCTTTTTGTAGGAAACACACTTTAGATCTTTTTAGGGTAAGAGGTTGAGTTATTGCCGTCTATAACTAATTGTGTCAGGAATACTGAAAACAAAACCAACTGAACTGCGCTCCTTTCTGGTGCCCCCTGGATATACAGCACCCTTAGCATTTACCTATGGTGCCTATGCCACGGACCGGCCCTGAGTTGACTGAGTGTTGTAAATACTCGCGCTCACCTCCCTCGCGACAGGGCGCATAGGAGATAAATGACGTCAGTACATAATAACCGGTTATGATTATTACTGAACCGATACCTTATTGTCCGCGTCTGCATCACGGTGCACCGAAGAAACAATTAATTTAGCCTAATTATACAGTATGTACCGCCTAGATGACAGGCAAATGTATTTTAGTTTAGTAGAAAACTCGGCCCTCTTCATGATATAATGATCATGCCCAGCATATGTGGTTGTTTTATATTTATATCTCCTTTGAAATATGGTAGAAATCAAAAAAATACACTTTCCTCTGCTTCCTTTTTATTTATTAACTTATCCTGTTTATTTATTTATTTATTTATTTATCTGAAATTCACTCGTCACCAGAACTACGTAGTTGAAAGCAACCCATTGTTAGCTATATATTAGGCCAAATGAGTTTTAGAAAAGGTATTTAATTGCATTTAATCTAGCTTTGTTTTAGGAGATTAAAGGTTTTGTTGGCAAATGTTTTTTTTTTCTCCATAAAGTTGTAAAACTGCATTCATTTCAATATTATTGATGAATCAAATAAGAGAGTTGACAGAAGGAAAAATCTCCAGGGTTATCTGAATTTAAGCTGACAAAACAAAAACGGTCAAAAAAATAAATAGACTTGCAAAATGTTGTGCTAAGAGTTAGTGCAATGCATCGCTCATAGACACTAGTTGGTAGACAGTGCAGAATAGAGCATTAAGTGATATTTAACATTCTACTTGCTATATTATTCCATGCTGTGTGGAAGAATCAGCTGAGCAGAACTATAAAAAAAAAAGAAAACAAAACCAAACATCCAGTTCCAGCTGGTCAGACGGCACATGGAGCCCGAGAGCCGACACCACTTAACCAAATTGGAATCCATTCTTCTAAAGCAGGCGCTGATAAGCACTTGAAAGCCGCCAGGGTTTCACATCTCCGGCTAGTGGCACCCTGTCAAAAACACAGGCCGTCTCCGCTTCGAGAAAAAGACAGACGGCTCATACACTTCACCTGGAGCTACGGGCCGAGACTAAATTAAAGCTTGCGATGGATTTGTGCTGCCAAACCACAGGCGGGGAAATGCAACGGGAGTGAATTTTGATCATGTAAAATTTCGGAAAAAAAACTGGACAGATGATCTGATTCACTTGATGTGCAAGCATTGACATCTACAGCAAAAAAAAAACAAAAACATAAAAACAAATGGTCCTGCGACAGCTTCACTGCCAAGGCAATCTGTTCTTTCTACATCCGCATGTCTGCAAACTCACATGGACATTGAATCATTTAGAATTTCAAGGTTCTGGATGGATGAATATATACAGTTGAAGTCAGAATTATTAGCCCCCTCTGTATTTCTTCCCCACTTTCTGTCTTACGGAGAGAAGATTTTTCTTTAACACATTTCTAAACATAGTTTTAATAACTCATTTCTAATAATTGATTTATTTTATCTTTGTCATGATGAAAGAACAGAAAATTTTACAAGATATTTTTCAAGATACTAGTATTCAGCTTATAGTACAGTCTTAACTAGGTGAATGAAGTTCATTAGGCAAAGTAGAGTAACTGGGCAAGTGATTGTATGATGGACTTTTCCATTTTTTATTTTTATTTTATTTGTTTTATTTTATTTTTTATTTTATTTTATTTTATTTTATTTATTTTATTTTTTTATTATTATTATCTGTGATTTTTTTTTCTAATTAATGCTTAACAGAGCAAGGGTTTATTTCACAGTATTTCCTATCATAGTCTTTTTTATTTTAATTTGGCTAGAATAAAAGCAGTTTAGAATTTTTAAAAAACTATTTTAAGGTCAATATTATTAGCCCCCTTAAGCAATATATTTTTATGATCGTCTACAGGAGTGGTCAACAACCTTTTTATCACCGCGGACCGGTCAACGTTCAATAATTTTACTGCGGACCGGGGGTTTTCAGAGGATGACAAAACATTGCTGTCGCTCTGATACAAGTTTTATTTATAGAGAAAATTACAAAGCACTGCTGTGGGTGGGTGTTCGGTGTTTGTCCGGGATAATTAGTCGTACCTAATTGTGTATATTGCATTCAAGCTGAAGCTGATCAGTCAGTTGGTCATGTGACTTGCGGTGCACTTCCAGCATTCATTCAACTGAATACTAGTGTCTTGAAAAATATCTAGTAAAATATTATGTACTGTCATCATGACAAAGACAACAGAAATCAGTTAGAAAAGAGTTATTAAAACTATGTTTAGAAATGTGTTGTAACGAATCTTACCCTTAAACACAAATTGGGGGGGAAATATATACAGGGGACTTATAATGCTGACTTCAAGTGTATATATCTCCATATTTGTGGATGAATCTTCCAATATTAACCTGCTACTTGTCACTTGATGGTATCATGTAAAATCAAAGCTCATCTTCAAATTAAAGTCTTAAAGATACAGCGGTAAAAAGCCTATATCGTATATTGTATTTCATGGAGCTGAGACACAATGTGAAAATGGTCAAATAAATAATAAAAAAAAAACCTGTGGCATATTATAACTGGACCTCAGAAAAAAAAAGTGACCAAAAAAAGTGTAGGATACGATTCCATTAAAGAAGTTCAGCTCAAAATGGCAGCAAACACAAAACACAGAAAAGCACTTGGATAAGGCGTACCTTCCTCTGGCTCCTCTTCCTCAGTGGGGGACTGCAGACGGCCACGAGCTTGAGACCCACACTCTGAGTGCTTCTCCAGACTCACCACTTCATACATCATATCGTCCTGACTGCCCTTCACTGAGCCCTAAAACATACAACAGCATGATTAAACATCAAACAAATAGATCCAGCAAAAGTCTGAGAACACAGAACGCAGTGAAAAGACAACAAAATATGCTAATATAGACTGAACTCTGTATAAAATGTAAAACATAAATGGATAAAAGAAAAAAACAGATTAAACATACAAATTACTCTCTAGAATTTAAAGCATTCAGTGGATGACAAAAAAATGTTTGTTTTTTACAAATTTAGTGGGACAAATAGATTTGTGCAAAATAAAAATAAAAAACAACTGTATAAATATTACTTCGATTAGTACACATGAATATAAAATAATAATATAAAGTAGTAAAAGTATTACAAGTTTATGTATGATTATATACATTTATAATTTGTTCTGGAGTTATAAGTTTATTTTGTTAATTTAGTATTTGTATTGTTGTGAATATATTCTAATGATAATTAATAAACAAATACATAATATATTTGTTTTTAATTGGCAATGTCAGTTATCAGATTGTTACATTAATTCATACAAAAACAAATGCATATAAATAATCAAGATTATATATTTAATAATAAGCGTTAAGTTGCAACTTTGTTCATATGTACAAAATTATAGAAGTAAATATTACTGTATTTAAAGTAAGTCTAAATAATGTATATGTAAAACTAATATTTAATTATTTATCATTTTATTATATATATATATATATATATATATATATATATATATATATATATATACTAAAATACTAAACTAAAATGTCCTTATTTATTAATATTTTATATTAGTAATACATAAATATTTTAAATGACATTAACACTACAATGGATATTTCGATGTATATTTACATAAATATTAATATAATTAGGATCAAGTGAAAGTTTTTTTTACTAATTAAATGAAAAAAATATATATATCACAAACACATACATACATTTACTCAAAAATATTATAAAAATAATTAAATATTGGTAATAATTACATATGGGTAAATAAATATTACAAAAACAATTACATATTGGTAATACAATTATTATGAATATATATCGTATGCATAAAATGTAACATTACACATTAAAATAAAATGCATTACCATATGCACCATATAAATCACTAAATGGCCTAGGACCTCAATAAATTACAAATATGCTCACTGAATACAAACCCAACAGATCACTCAGATCTTTAGGATCAAATAAACTAGAAATTCCAAGAGTTCAGTCAAAGCAGGGTGAATCCGCCTTCAGCTACCATACCCCTTGCTGCTGGAATCAGCTTCCAGTAATGATCAGATGTGCTCCAACATTATGAGATATTTGAAAAAGAGTAAACAATAATAATTTTGCCTTCAACTGTAAATCATGATACATAACAAAAACTGGCTAATGTAAATATGAATATGACATATTGAGAAGGGCTGTTCCTTAAAGAGCACAGCATTCAAAGGTAGCTTCACCTTCGCTACAGCTTCAGGGAAAATAGCAAATGCATAATTACACGCGCGGGGAAAAAAATTAAACAAGCAGTGAGAGCGACGACACCTACAAAACCAACAAAAAAAACATTTCTACCTCTCATGTTAAACCGCCGTCTCCATATTCACAACTGTACTACAGGCGAAGAATGATGTTTACAGCCGCCATAATTACACGCTAATTCCTCATGCCTAATGAGCAGCGTAAACAAATAGGAAATAATAAAATAACGCAGAGAATGGGCTGGGTCTATCGCTAACGCCATAATATTATCTTTTAATTAGCTTTTAACTACAGCGCAGGCATTCTTTCTCTCCGCGATAAGATAACTGTGGAGGCAATCAGGCAGAGATGGAGGCTGCAAGCTCTAATTACTTGAGCATGATAATGAGCGCCGGGCCTCTTATTAAGCCACGAATTATACAAAACCTCCATTTGCCGCTTCACAGCTTCCAGGAGTTACTGCTCCTGTTCACCCTTCACCAAAGCACACTTCCTTCCTCCAGGTTTGTGTAGCTGCTAACGTGCAGACAAAAACTGGTGGCTACAAAAGAGGGTGATGACGATTAAGCAAATGATTTTACCGGTGTATTTTTTTAAAAATAATTTGTTTAGATACAATATTTATGTTTATTTTATATATACACAAACACATTAGATGAATATTCCTTTATTTAAAGACCAAATAGATAATATAGTTTTAAATAGGGCTGCACAATATATCGTTTTAGCATTGATGGTAAATTGGGATTATAGTCGATTGGACAATTCAAAACATGAAGTTTGAGGAGTCACTGCAGAGTTTAACCATAATTGTCTATCATTTGTATTTTTAATCCTTTTTGACAGTGAGAATTTGAGGAGTTTACAGCATTTAGACACCTTTTGCCTCTTTAATACCTTTTGCCTCTTTAATAAAAAAAATAATTTATATATTGAAGAACATGTAATTGTACATTAGATTGTACTAGTTTGGTTCACGTTTGGTTTTTGGCTCTTCATAAGAAAAGGCTTGGGCACCCCTGATCTAGATAACAAATTCTTTACAAAAGAGCTTTTTATGTCATCTAGTATATACTGCAGATGGAGCCCTAGTTTTAAAACATACAATTTTGACTTGTATGATTTGAGAATTTTGTAAGCAAGGACGATTTCACAGTATTTATTTATAATAGAGTTGTTATTTTGAATTTCTACAATTAAATAATAACTAATATTAATAATAATTCATTAGCAATTAATATTCTAGTATTTGATAAAACTCTACTAACACAATATACATATTATCAAAAACTTTATATTTCATGACAATATTTGAGTATAAATTAACAGCATATTATAATATTAATTTTTAAACATGCATATATAGTACATATGCACATATGTTTTCAGAGAAAGAAAATAAAGCTGTGGAATGGCCCAGCCAATCACCTGACTTGAATCCAGTAGAAAATACAAAATAAAGATCAGATTTGATGGACGAGACCCACAGAACCATCAAGATTTTTACACAAAAAGTGCTCCTGAGCAATGCATGAGACTTCATTCTCCATATGAGAAGCGTCTTTCAGTTGCCATCTTTAAAAAAAAGCATTTTATATAAAGTATTAAATACATTTCAGTAGTTCAGTACCTTTTCCTAGTGTCATTTCATTGTTATTACATACAACTATTTTTACAGACTTTTGTTTTGTTTAATTTTTATGTTTGTATTGTTTGGGTTTTTACCAAAATCTGGTTCAATTCTATATCAACAGCTCCTTTATAAATATTATTCCCAGGAAAAAAAAAACATGATATGTTCAATATTTACTGCTGTAAATAACTTTTACCCAGGCCTCATTTCTATTAGCATTACCACTTTAACTGATTTAGTTTGTTAGATTTTACTGTGAAATACATCTTCAGCAGAATCATGAAATTCCCCAAATCATTCAAGCATACTGATACAGCTCGCATTGTCGGTTCAGACCTCACTGTATGTGTATCTCTGAATAATTTGTAAGTGTTGTTTTGGTTTGGGAATATACCTGTTTGAGCTTGAGGTAAAAGGTTTCACAGAAGGCCTTCCTGCTGAAATACCAGAACCTCTCATTGGCTGGATAGACCCGCACTAGAGCCTCCATGAGGAACCGAACCGGTTCAACGACCTCGGTCACCACCAGATCCACAGCCACCGTCATGTAGACCTGCTTATCTGAAGGAGGAGAAAAACTCACTGTTCACAAGACTATAAAAGCTTAATGCACACAGGAAAAACATTAAACAGTAATAGAGTGCAACAGTTGGGATCCTGAAGTTAAAAATCCATTCATTTTCACCACAGGGAAAGTGATTTTTAATTTATAAACCATTAAAGTCAAACCTGCTGTGAGCTCAGAGGTTGTTAAACGAAGCTATATGCTCATTTTGAAGCCAAATTTCAGCAAATGAGCTTTTAGCTCTGCCCACTCCCATGATGCACTGCAGGGGTGTACCTACGTGCTTGACACATCTTAAGTGTAGCATGATAAAACTGCTATTTTAAAGATAACAGTATGATAGGACTGCGAATAAACCCAATATTAATGTGCCATAATGCTAAAGATATGTGCTAAAATCAGGTTAAAGATGCAAGCAATGTGTTAAATCATGCTAATGTTAACATGCAAATGCTGAGGTAAATCTTGCTAGCAATGTTGACCAAACATGCTAACAACATGCTATGCCTGCACATGTTAATACATTCACTGTAACGCAAGCTAACAAATCCCTAAAAGATGTTAGTGACATGTTAAATCATGCTAACAACATATATTGCAGCAACTTATTAACAATTTTTACAGTGTCATCCTAACAACATTAAAGATGTCAACAATGTTAAATCATGCTAATAAAACTGCTAGCAGTGTACTACATCTTACTAAAAACATGTATGTCTTGTCAGTTTATTAGAACGTTAGCTATTTGTTCAATTGAGCTTGAAGCATGCTAGCACCATATATGCTAACAATGTGTTAAATCATGTCAGTGGCATATTACATTTTTGTTATTGTCTTTAACTGTGTTAGCAAAATTGCTCAAAATGCTAAAAGGCAATCAATTATCACTCTGATCGGTCAAATCATGACAACTTGCTAATGCTAAAACATATTACCAACATGTTAAAGATGCTAGCGATGTGTTAACTCACACTAGAAATATACATATGCTTAGCTTAATCTTTCTAGCAACATGCTGATGGTCCTAAAGGTTGCTAGCAAAAAGCATGACCAGTTAGCCACATAACATGTAAGCACTAAATGCATGCTAACGATGTGCTAAAAACATGGCAGCAACATTTTATAGACTTCCTCTGAGTAAAACGATCTTTAAATGAAAGGTTGCATCATTTACACTGAAACTAAAGGTCAAAAAGAGTGTTATTTGCTAAAATTCATCCTTTTTATTAAATCTGAGGAATAATTTAGCATTATTCTCTTTCAGGTGAGCCCTGTAATTATGAACAAAAGCAGAGTGCTGAGTGAAACGCACCACAAATCAGTGAAATCCAGCCTGTTTTCTACTAAGGCGGTTTTATTATTTCAATTAACAGGAAACAAGGGCGACAATAGTTGCAGATTTATGAGGGACTGGCTGAAAATAGATTCCAATTACGATAGAGTCGGGTCAGAAAAGGTTGCGGTGGAAAAGACGGAGTGGTAAATAACCGGTGGTGGGACTTACAAACGCACACAAAACCACCAAAACAGAGAGTGAAAAAAAGCGTGGACTTGAAATGAAAACCTCGGGTTGACTCAGGTCACAGAATTAAACGCTATTTAGTTATCTGAATCTAGCAGACCAGAATTAAATTTTTAGGTAAACTCCACATAATTTGACAACAGAGCATTAAGCTGCAGTTTTGAGTTGCGCTGCTTCTGGTTTGGCCTCAAACCAAATCAACAATACACATACAATGAGGATTACTGCTACTCTAGTAATTTGAGTCATTGAATAAAGAGGCCATTACTGTTCCAAGTTGGACCACTCATAAATCCTGCTATTTAGTTTTTTTATTTATACTTAAACTCAACGTTTTTATGTCCTCAATTATACAGATGCTAAATGAAAAACACTCAAAATGCAGGTGAATTTTAAATATGTTATTATCAGGGTTCATGCAAGTTTCATCCAGTCAAATTTAAGACCTTTTAAGACCCCTTTAAAACACTTAAAATTTTTAGACTCTTCATTTTTTATCATTTTATTACAGGGATAACCATGAGGAATCATATAATTGTTTTTTATTTTGTTTTGAATTTGCTGTAAAAAAAAGTCTAATAGCGGTTGTGAATTGTATCTCCTCAAAATAAACTTGAATATAAAAAAAAAAAAAAAGTTTTATTGAAATGGATTGGTGGTGATTGGATGGATGTCAGCCCGATTGAGAAGCTTTACTTCAGCAAAACAAAATTAAGACCCGTTAAAAATGATTTAAGACCTACAACACCAAATTTCCGTGAATTTAAGACTTTCTAAGGCCTAAAATTTAAGCAACTAATATAACTATTACGATTAAATATAAGCAAAATGTAAAATTATGTGTCTGCAAGAACAGTAGACTACTGAAAATGTAGGACTTTAAAATTATTTAGCCTGCCCTTTATTTTAACATGGTAAATTAGTCTTTTTATCCAGTCTGTTCAACAGTTTCATGTAATTAAATTTTTAAAAGCTTAAAGCTTAAAATAGTTTAACTCCACTTTGCAATTGCAATGTCAGTCTATAGCGAGCTTTACTGATGTAGATAGTGTTACAGTACATGGCGCTTAGCTGTATAGCACTGAGTAAATAGGTAGAGTAATGACATGACTGGCAAATTATAATGTGTTATCTTGTAAAATGTGCACTCAGTCCCATAGCTCTGTTAACTCACACAGAGGAATTTTACAGAGAAGATGTACGTAAATAATAAAAGTGCGCCTCACTTCAAGGCAGTTTTGCAACTCCCTGATAAGCAGATATTATTACACTACAGTATCATTACATCCTTAAAGTAAGAAAATCAAATCACTGAAAGACGTCCTTAAAGATTACACTAACAGGTTATATGCAGAAATCCTAAAGGTAATTTCAATACATTAAGACTTTAAAGACCTTCTCAGAATATTTTAAGACCTTATCACCAGTTCAAGTTCTAATCAGTATCCAACCTTTAACTTAATAAACAGTTGTAAATAAACAATTGTAGTTACATAAATCAAAAAACAAAAGAAACAAAGCTTCAAAGAACAAACTACGCGGTAGTTTTCAGCCCATGCTTCAGCCACTGTTCAAACTCAAAGAAGCTTGGCCAGACACGCGGGCCCGAACCAATCGCATGGATTGAGCACACTATTGTTAATATTAGAAGGAAAATAAATATGTTTATGCTTTTTTGAGTAAACACTTTGGACAACACTTAAACAAAATTTTGCACCTTGTAAAAATGGTATCAAGACTTTTTAATACCTCTTAATGGGCTTAATTTTCTCATAATTTATTTATTAACTTTTATTACTTTAAGACCCCACTGACACCCTGCTGTAAATGGCTGTTGTCATGACGATCGCACCAGACGCTGACAGCGCACGTGAATCTAGCACGAGTCAGATCAGGCCAGCTAAACTGTAGCTGCAGCTAAAAGAAAACAACTCCTCATAAAGATGAATGCCATGATCATGTTACTGATGTAATAATGTTTAATGTACAACCTGATTCTGATTGATATTTTCCAAAAACGCCCTTCAATCACATTCTAGTCTTGTTTTTATTAGTCAACAAAAATGTCAATATGTTTTTATTATAGTTGTCATCATCATCATCACTTTATTTTTATTTAGTTTTCGTCAGTAGAAACTTGTTTGTTCACTAAAATTCTGGCAAAATTTCCATTAAACAAATATACACTGATTCAGAACCTATAACCAAATATTTCCAGGATGAATTTTTTCAATTAATTTTGCCAACAGCATGTGGAGTCACGTGCCCCGCTCTGTTAAAGGCTGAGGCTGACTTTCTATGGCCATTTTGCAGCCACATCTCATCTCTGGTCAAGTAGGACAATAGATCCATTCTTCAGCCTAACTTTTGCACTACATTGACGATGACTGTTAGAGATGTCTTAAGATGGCATATTTTCTATTACATTAAAATTATTATTTACATTAAAATATTTGATTACAGAATATGCAAAAAATACACTGTTTAAACAATTATTTACAGGATATGCAAGAGTAATTTTATTTTGAAATGATACTGCTTATTTTCCACTTTTAATATGAAAAGCCTTGAAAATTATTTATTTTGTTTCCGAAAATGCAAGTTACTTATTTTCACTATTTATGAAAAAAAAACAGACTGTTCGATTTAGGCAATGCGAGTTTTAATTTCAGTTGTTTAATGCTGATGTTCGATAAATATTCATAGATAGTAGATAGAGTGTGTTTCCTTTATTTTAAAATCAAGCTATGCACCTTTCATTCAAAAATCTCTCACTTGTAATATGTGAGCATATTTACTCTACAAAACCTGTCAGTGAACTGTGAGGGCAAAAAAAAAGTAACAAATAAAGCAATCGTTCATTATTGCAATGATTGTAGGCCTAATCGCCAAGCCCTAAATTCTAGCTATTTTAATATGAAGATTAACTACATGAAAATAGCTAAAATTGAAATATAATATTAAAAATTAGTGTACAAGTTTAACAGAAATTATTATAACACATTATATTCAGATTATAATTTGTGAATTAACTGCATACATCTTAAATTAATGAACAAGTTTATGTACATTTAACTTACTATAATTCATTATGTTGTTAATAAAATTCCAATAATAAAAGATATACATCATATATTTTTTTAAAAATGCTTGTTTAGAAGTATGAAAGTATAATGTTTGATTCAAATCTACAACTCCAATAAAGGCTGTATAGAATTTATATTTTGTAATTAAGTCTAGAAATTAAGACACCATATATTTGTTTATAGAAAACTTAAACACACAAACAGACACACAACCATACATTAATGATGTTAACATTACACCTGTTTCAAAACTGATGTGAAAATGAATGGAATGTGTACTTCTGTCATTGATAGATGTTACATTTTAAGAAAAGCCTCCTGGAATAGAAAGTCAGCTGAAAACTTCTAGTCATGTGAGAACAAAAATAAGACAGCAGACAAAGTGTGAAAACTATAAATTGATGAAGAATTGAGCAGGAGTGTTCTGGTGTTTCAGAGGACCAGGTCTTAGCTCTTTACCTTTCGGCGTGTCCTCGTTCAGTGGCTGGAAAGCAGGGGTGTTTGGATTCCAGATGCCTGTGATCACATAAGCCTTCCCATCTGCATTTTTACCCATAGACTCCTTTAAACATAAACAAACGCAGGCAATGATCAGTCTCTTACATAAATGATGTATAGAAAGGTTCAGAATTAAAATATAGAAAATCAAATATACATATTTTAGATTTTAGATTTTGAAAATATCCACCAATGTTATTAGTAATTATTAATATTAAGCATTAAAAAGTTAAACATACTGTACAATGACAAACACAGACATGCATGAATAAGTTTTTTGTTTATATATTAATTTTGTAGAATTAAAATCTATATAAAATAAAAAAATGTCTTAATATATATTTTCATATACAAAAAAATACAAAAAATATATTTCATATACACTGTAAAAAATATCTGTAAATTAACAGTTTTTAAATGTTGTGTTTTCCATTTATTTACGGTTGTGAATTGCATTATGGGATGTTGAGCTCTGCTCTGTTGAATTTTGATGTTGTTTGTTAAAGTTTAACAAAGTAACTTTTATTGACATTTTAGCAGTCTGAAATAATATAATGTATAATAAATAACATATAGAAAAATAAGTCTCTAAAATAACATCAAAATGTACAGGCAGCTTATTAACTGTTAATTTACAGTGAAAAGCACTTACCTGGAAAAATTACATCAAATACAATTTATATTTGTTATACTTTTTAGTATGTTTATATGAATTAAAATAATTTAAATATAAATACTTATATTCTATAAAATGTTGCATTACTTTGTATTCATACATACTGTAGTAGTAATTTGAAATAAATTATAATTCTGTGGAATAGAAACTATAGAAATGCAACAAGCAGATCCACACAAAACTATCAAATTAAACAATATTTTTCAAAACAGAATATTCTATCTAATATATGCAAACACAAACATCATAACATTGTCTTTGTTTGTTTTTTCAAAATTCATATAATATTACATTACATACAGTTGAAGTCAGAACTATTAGCCCCTGTGTTTATTTTTTTTCCCAATTTCTGTTAAACAAAGAGATTTCCCCAACACATTTCTAAACATAATAGTTTTTATAACTCATTTATTTTATCTTTGTCATGATGACAGAAAATAATATTTGACTAGACATATTTCAAGGCACTTCTATACAGCTTAAAGTGACATTTAAAGGCTTATCTAGGTTAATTAGGTGAACTAGGCAGGTTAGGGTAATCAGCGAAGTTATTATATAACGATGATTTGTTCTGTAGACTATCGAAAAAATTTAGCTTAAGGGGCTAATAATTTTGACCTTAAAATGGTTTTTAAAAAAATTTTAAATTGCTTTTACTCTAGCCGAAATAAAACAAATAAAACAAATAATTTCTCCAGAAGAAAAATATTATCAGACATACTGCAAAAATTTCCCCGCCCTGTTTAACATCATTTGGAAAATATTTAGAAAGGAATCATGATATTACCATCAACATTCCTTATAAGTCAACCTCTAAAATTGTATCTTTATTTTTTTTTAAAAAGGCAAAAAAAAAAAAAATCATCTTTTCTCATCACATTTATCTAATTTGACAAGTTTTGCTATAATTTTTAGTTTAATATTTAACCATTTAATATTTGACAGTGACATCACTGTTGCCAAAGGCTTGCTTGGTTTTGGGACTTTTGGAGTTGTGCATCGATGGATTTGCTCTTCTGTGTTTGGACTTACAGCAATAAAAAATTAAACCACACTGAAATGAATTAAAAACTGAAATTCAACTCAGAAAACTGGACTGACACTTTCATTTTACTCGAACTTCTATGTTAAGCTGCTTTGACACGATCTACATCGTAAAAGCGCTATAGAAATAAGGATGAATTGGAAAAAAAAACACAAGAAAGAACACAAAAATCATCTGCAGCCCTTGCATGGCAAGAGTTTCAAATAAAAGCATTAAAAGCTTAGGATTATGAATTATAATCATGTGAAAAACACCTGCTACCACATCGATAAACCTTTTTTAAGACAGGAACAGCTGTTATTTCTTTAGATAAGGAACAAAATATATCAAAAAAATTCAGCAATTTGATTCAAAGTTAATTGCATTAAACAGGGCTGCAAGCAGCAATTACTGAGGTTGAAGTATTTTTTATTTTTTTTGCAAACCTAAAATCAGCTAAACAAGTGACTTGCAAGCATTTTAACAATTTCAGGTCATTTGCCTTGGACATAAAGCATTTTCTATGTCTTCCAAACCATTATAGCGCCACCTATGGACTGATGGAAAATGGAATCATATAATGTATGTTCTCACCTTATTTTATGAAAATCAGACTTTTTGTTTAGAATTTATAAGCTTTTGGGTATATTTGACCACACCCATTTGTTAAATGAGCTTATTTTGTCAAATGTTCAAATGCAAAAAAGGTAAATATACAATTATTAATCAAATCAGCCTGGAGATTTAATTTTGATCACAAGATTAGTTTGGATGATCACTTTGACTGCAAAATAGTAATCTCCAACAATTCCTAAAAAAATAGTTTTGCTCCTAAACTCTTCCAAAAATGGCTGGCTTGTGGTTTAACCATGATTGTTTAATCTATTGAGAGCTATAAATAAGAAGCACTGCTGCTGAAACCATTAAAAAGACTTGCACAAAAATAAATCCCAACATTAAGCCTTGTAGGATGTTTGATTCAGCTGTCTCCGTGAACTCTCCGCTTGATTGAACTGCTAATTGTTTTTCGGTCTTGATGTGCAAAAACTGTTACAGCATCACTAGCTCAAGGCCTAATGTGAAATCGTGCTTTTTAATGAATAATAAAAGTCCACATTTCCATTAAGTGTTTCTAAAATCGGCAGCAGAATAGTGATTAAAATGAGTGAGGGTATATGCAATTAGTGCATGGTATCCAGCCCAGGAGTTATTCTAATTAGAAATCCTGGGTAAAACTCGAGAGAAAAAAATGTCTGACCATATCGAGAAGATGCATGTCACTGTTGCGCACTTTCTGACCAGGACTGAGCAGCATCCCGAAGCACCTGCAAAATAAAAGACAGTGGTACATATAGTATAATATTTTTACAGTGTCAGATGTAATATTAATAAGACAGAACAGCAATATTTAATAAATCAAACAGGAACATTAGGTGCATTATTAATGTACATACAGTATATATACACATGTATATGACTGAATAAAAAAATTATGAGAGCTTTCTGTGAGGATTATTAAGTGTTTGTGATGGGGGTCAATTTCACAGAAAGAGCATCTTCACTGGAACTACAGCGACATCATGTGGTTGCACAAGGAACCATATTTTGACAACAGTAGTCAACATTTGATGCGGATCAAAAAAAATATTCAAAATTATCCTAAGACAAGAATGGGTGTTGTTGAATAGCTTTAAGACAACTTTGATAAAAGGTTTTGATACATTTCAAATGTTAACTACATAGATATCTATTTATTGAACACTGCATATACTGTAGGTCAGTGTGTTTATGGTTATGTAACTTTATATTATATACAAAGTTCCCAGTCTTTCGTGGACACCAAATTCAGGGACTCTCAAGGACTTTTTAAAATCACTAATAATGTTATATCAAGCACATTGATTACACTTTATTTTGATGGTCGCTATTGCTGTAGTTTCAAGAAACATGGGAACCCTGTATATAGAAATAGAACATGTTACCTGCTAATTTTGCAATGTTTCTAATTCATAGTTTAAATCTAAACCTTTTTAATTCGTTTTTTTAAGTTTAGCCATTATAACACAAAATCCAGTTCTGAAAAGGGAGAAAAGGTGTGAATTTGTCGCTCTGGAAACAGCGTCTCATAACCCACCGCTCTATGACCAGCTCCTTATTGTTTAGCTGCTGGACAACCACAGACACTTTCTTCTGTACGCCCTGCCGCAGCTTGAAGTAATATTTATCTCTGTCTTTGGGAACTGGACTACAAGTTAAAAGAAGAATACAAAAATAAAAAGTGTCACTTACATTTGGTTGGCCAGAAATTTAAATAAAGCAACAGTGCTGAAAGCATGAGACAAAAGCAGAAACAAGCTTTTTCAGAAGCGAGTAAAGAGCGACCTGAAGTTTCCTTTCCCATCATCTTCTCTCACTTCTAGAGAAACACTAAAAGTGAAAACGTCGCTGTCAGGGGAAAGTGGCAACGGCGAGTCTTGCATCTCTGTGGCAGCTTTTGCCGAACGCTTGAAGGCCGTCGAGAAGCTATAGAGGATGCGACTAACCTAAAAATATAAATAAATAAAAAAAGGGTTTGAAAGATTGGGTTTAATGTGGGTTTCAAGACTACTTTAATGAAGAGATGAAACTCACCGCCTCTTTGATATGGCAGGAAAAGACGTGAATCTGAAAGTCCTCAGAGCTGCGGTAGCTCTCAGTGAAAGAAAAGCAGTCACTCTCAACAGATCCCTCGCATCCTCGTGCGCAAAACAACACCTTATAGATGGGAAAAGACGCTATTTCTGTTCCGCTGGCCTGGTCCACGATCCTGGAATCATTAAAAACATAACAGACCTATAACTAAAACTGTGTGTGAAACCTAGAGTTTCCAGGTACATGCAAAGGTTTACTTTTAACTTAACATAGCACATAAATAAAGCAAAGAGTTATATGTATACAATTATTTTGCATACAAAATACAATTATGCAAGGATCTCCATAAAGCGAGCATGCACATACAGTCCAAAATTACTACAATGTGATGTATATATGTATGTACACACACACACACACACACACACACACACACACACACACACACACACACACACACACACACACACACACACACACACACACACACACACACACACACACACACACACACACACACACACACACACACACACACACACACACACACACACACACACACACCCTGACAAAAGTCTTTGTCGCTTCTCCAAGTTTTAAGAACAACAAATAATAACTTGACTTTTAGTTGATCTTTGGGATCAGAAGTGGCTTATATGAAAGGCCAAGGCCTCTAGATCAGGCTTTTTTCGCAAAATAAGACATGATCATGCTTTAGGTTTTTATTATCTAATTAGGCCAGTAATGTCTGACTTTGCTTAGACAAAAGTCTTGTCACTTAACAGAAATAATGTACTGTATACAATATAAAGTCACGGTGCAGTGGAAAAAGAATTAATATTGTGTATGACTCCCATGAGCTTGGAGGACTGCATCCATACATCTCTGCAATGACTCCCAGAGATTAATAAGATTTTTTGAATTCATCTTCAATGCCTCCTCCATCTTACCCCAGGCATGCTGAATAATGTTCATGTCTGTTGACTGGGCTGGCCAATTCTGGAACACCTTGACCTTCTGTGCTTTCAGGAACTTTGATGTGGAGGCTGAAGTATGAGAAGGAGCGCTATCCAGCTGAAGAATTTGCCCTCTACTGTGGTTTGTAATGTAATGGGCAGCACAAATGTCTTGACACCTCAGGCTGTTGATGTTGCCCATCCACTCTTCACATCTCTCGCATGACTCCATACTGAATGTAATCCCAAACCATTATTTTTCCTTCACTAAACTGGACTGATTTCTCTGAAAATCTTGGGTCCATACGGGTTTTAATAGGTCTTCCACAGTGTTTGTGATGATTGAGATGCAGTTCAACAGATGATTCATTGGTAAAATCTACCTTCTGCCACTTTTCCAGATCAACTGGAAGTCAAATTATTATTGTTGCATTTACAACTGGGATGGACGACAAGACTTTTGTCAGGTAGTGTATATGTGATGCAAAAAAAAAAAACACTTTGGATGCATCTGACCAAAAAAAAAGCTAAACCCCTTATTAATGTAAGTATTTTGACATTAAATAATGTTTTGTTTTTATTCAAGTCACTAACTTAAATAAGACTGATAAATAAAAAAAAAGGAAGTCAATAAAATAAGCACATTGTATTGACAATAAAACTTTACTGACAGTGAATGAGTCAAGAGGAATCATTTTACCAGCGTTGCAATGACAGCAAAGTAGTGATACTGCAAGAAGCAGGAAAACGTTTACCACACAGAAATGTCCTGTAGTCACGTTATAGTAGTAGACTTGCTTTTCCGGTATACATGAGCAAACATCCAACATATATTTTGAACATTAAGTATGTTTTCTGTTCTAATGTGAATAATATATGGGTTTAGTACATTGTTTCTTATAAATATTTTTCACAGCATCCCATTTTTGTACTTTTTAAAATAATTTATAGTACAATTTATTTTTTGGGAGATTTACATAAATGTACTTTTTATACTTGTATGAAATAGTTAAATGTAATTCTTTAACAAATTCGAATGCAAAAGAGTATTTAGAACCATTAGAATATTCACAGGAGCTGTTTTTGAGATTACTGAAAAAGACAAAGCAAGATGTTTAACCTGAGGTTACACCACAGTTCCTAAGAAAAAAAAAAGAAAAAGAAAAAACAGAGAGCACTCAGGGTGAGAAACCAGAAGTGCTACATCTAATTCACAAACCTGAAATAAGAGCTAAAAGCAGCTTAAACAACAGCTGTTTCTGACAGTCATGAAGATCCCGAGGCTTCAGAAAGTCACATTTTACACTTCTGACGTAGAGTGTGATTTGACTCAATGGTGAGAAAGATAAATGAAAGCCTTTGAGGATTCGGGAGATAAGTGCAAAACAAATACATTTTTGGAGATGCATCTGACGCAAGTGTAATCTGTGTTCCAGAATATAAAAATAAATCTGCTAATCAAAATACAAATACTGATTTATAGAATGCTAATTTGATATAATTTGCTATGCTGATTTAAAAAATATAATTTGCGATGAAACAAAACTGATAAAAGTTCAATTTTAAATAAATTACATTTGTACAAATAAATGTATTTGCAAAAAAAGAGAACATTATACATTGATGAATAAAGAGACTAAGCAGAAGAAAAATGAATGAATATTTAAAAAGTTTTAAAAACCTTAAAATTACATTTATTTGAATGTATTTTGTAGGTTAAAATGTTTCAAATTTAAACTATGCATAACACCATATTTTTTATTTTATATTCTAGCAGTCAGTTCAAATTATTTTATGCATCAAGTAATTTAAATGTGTAAATCAAGTGAATATTAATTACATAAATAAATAAAATAATAAATGAAATAATGGAGCACCTGTGGACTACATACATTATTTTTGGCAAATGACTGACCGGACACAACCGTCGGAGCCGTTGGGCACATGGAGGATGACGGGAATGGGAATGGCACTCTCCGCCCTCAAGGTAGCCATGGCTTTCTGGGCCTCCGTCTCACTGCGTGGAGCCTTCACCCAGGTGCAGCCCAGATAGGACAGTTTACTGAATTGAACACTCTCTTCCTCTGGGACAGTCGGACTCTCGAGCAGTGCTGCTGAGGATTCTGTTGCGACAGACAATGAAGTGTTAACAAAGGCTGGAAAATTAATCTAAATGAAATCACAAACCTGCAATTTTCATGTACATCTTGTCAGGAAAGCAAGGTTGTGTGCTCAGTAGTAAATCTCCTCCAAAAGACCAGAGGGCGCTCTCACAAGGAAACTCCACACAGCAACGAAGAAGAAACTCAGGAAATCCCCATAGTGTTACATTATAAACATAAGTTTTTGCCATTTTTTTGTGTGTTTGTTCCAAGCGGCAACCTCACGCTCTCCCTTGTGAAGCCAATACTTCATATTGTAGTATAGTAACTACATAGTATAGTAACATAGTAACTGAAACTGCAATTCATCAACTTGCCTTTGGGGGCTGGCTCCATAAACTCCAGATGTCCACTGACTGCAATGCTAATTGGCCAATTTTACAGCTGATAAAAACATGTTTACAGCCTGGTACAAAACATGGTTTTGATGTATACATTTTCAATATTCAATATTAAATCATCTTTAAATATTCATCGTAGATAGTTTGATTGACTTTGTTCGTAGTGCTTGATCACTTAAACCAGGGGTGCCCAAAGGCGGTCCTGGAGGGCCGGTGTCCTGCAGATTTTAGCTCCTACTTGCCTCAAGACATCTGAATGGATGTTTGTAGAAAGCTTTGTAAGAGATTAACTAGCTAGCCCAGGCGTGTCTGATTGGGGTTGGAACTAAACTTTGCAGCACACCGGCCCTCCAGATCTGAGTTTAACATCCCTGATTTAAAAAGTATGTTTTCCATGTTCAATATTACATAAAATATGCTTATCACTGCCTGCTATTTTTTAATTAACATTTTTACAGAGTCCCAACATTTTGGAAACGAGTTATTTTGAGTCTTCATTTTATTTTAGATTTTGGAAATCAAGTAGCTCATTAAATCAGATTTCAGAAGTAAAGCAAAGGGTTTCGATAGTAATCATTTCTTCTTTCGACATCTACTGTAATTTTTTTGTTCCAACCTGTTTTATCTAAGGGTCCATTGTTAAGGGTGAGTGAATGAGGAAGTTTGAGCAAGGTGGAGAGGAAGTCAGTCTTCAAAGACCCTGATTATAGCCAACAGGAAGTAGATGTGATAAATAGACCAAGGTTCAGATGGCATCTGTTGTGTATGTGTACATCACTGATCACATTTCTTTTCTAGATCTGTTTTGAATAATGAAATAAATAAACACTGTTTTGAATGAGGAAAAAAATAAATATAATGAATAGGTATTATCAATTAATGGATCAATTAATGCATTACAAGTTTAGCATAAAAAAAATCTGGCTGATCAATCAGTTGAACCAGCAAAAGTATCCTGAAAATATTTAATAATTTACACAAACATATAAAATGTATAATATATGCATTAATTTACATCTATAACTAAATATTAATATTCCCAACATATCATTTTGTCTGATTTTTAAAGGTTACAATTTTTTTGTTTATTTGTAAAATGCATTACATGTTATTTGTATAATGCGTTATATCGAGGAAAACAAAGTCAAAGCAATGTCAGGTTGATTCATAAAATCAATATAATTTTGTCGGCTTTTCATAAAGAATTGACATAACAATGATGAAGATTTGCTGTTGTGTCTTTGAGCAGCATGTACCGTGTGGAGCTGTGTCCAGACTGGGCGGTCTGATCTGAGTGCATCCCTTCTCCTGTTCAGCTCCTGCTCCATCAGCAACATCATCCAACACCTCCTCCATCGCCCGCTCCAGCTGCTCACTCCCATTCCACGACATCTGAGACAAACACAATGCAGGTTACACAACACAACATTCTCAAACACAGGATAAAATCAGAGTAAAGGGGTACTTTAAACAAAAAGGGAAATTCTGTTATTAATTAGCGAACATCATGTTGTTTCAATCCCTTGAGACTTTTGTTTGTCTTCAAATAAAGTTTTTTTAAGATGAAATCTGAACGCTCCGAAAGAATTATAAGCCCCCCTGAATTTTTAGCCCCTGTTTATTGTTTTCCTCAATTTCTGTTTAACAGAGAGATTTTGTCAACACATTTCTAAACATAATAGTTTTAATAACTCATTTCTAATAACTGATTTATTTTATCTTTGCCCTGATGACAGTAAATATTATTTGACTGGATATTTTTCAAAACACTTCTATACAGCTTGTCTGAAATATTACAGGCTTTTACAGATGACATTTTGGGGATCTCTTTATCACTTCTTAATCACAATGCATCTTCACCATTTTCTCTAGAATTTTGTATATAATCATGCAAACTGTGTACAAACTTATTTCTCAGTTAAAAGCTTCATAATACAGAAATGAATAAAGCTGTGCAAGTTTAGTGTATGTAAAACTGGTAAAGTTAAACATTTTAAAACAATTTGTACTGTAATTGGTACAAATTGTGAAGACAACTACAAAAGAAATTTAAAAAAAGAAAATCAACTTGAGCACAATTTTGGGTAAAACAGAATAGGCTAAGAAATTACTCACTTTGATTCAAAACAAAAAAAGTCATTTAATTATAAAGGTATTATAATACCACATCCTCATAATTTCCTTGAAGTGCTTGAATGTTATTTATTTACTTTATTTCCTCTTTTTATTTCTATACTTAATGGATTATCTTGAGTATCAAGACAGTATTTAAGTAAAAAGCTCAGTATATCATAAATCTGTAAGTAAATGTGGAAATTTCTTAAATAAAAATCTAAATAAAAAATAATAATAATAAAAATAGACACTTTTGGATGTTTCCTTTACATGAGACTAAAACTTTAAAAAACCTTTCATGAGAACCCAAAATTGACATGCATGAAAAAAGCTGTTGAGTATCCACAGTATATGTTGTTCATCAGTATGAGAGATACCTTGAGTCTGGGTCTGCCCTCAGAGCTGGACGGTGATCCACCGGCACTGGGCGGCACAAGCACAAACTCCTCGCTGGTGACGGTGGACACTGATTCGGTGGAGCCGCTCACTCTGCCCAGAGAGGAGCTGTCATCCATGATAGCCTGGACAGACCGGCCGCTCGGCCTACTACTGCTGCAACCCTAAAAACAACACAGGACAGACCTGTTTCACCAGGACACTTCAACTACCGTAATGGAAAACATTCATTTACAGCATACTGTGTTCTTTTTTTTTGAGTGAGATGCTAATGGTCTAATCTGATTCAGTGATGTATGCTAAACTAATCTAAAACTGCTCCAGCTAGACCAACAGATCAGCTGAATAGATTCAAAAATGGTTCCAAATTTAACTCAAAAAAGTGGAGTGTTCCTTTAAAATGAAGCATATACATCATCATAAAAAAGACATTATATAAGCAAAAACTTTACACAATTATATCTATATTTTATCTATCCATTAAATACATTTTTGTACATAAGCATTGAAAATGTCACAGTTAAGGTTATAAAAATATTTATTAATAAAAGCATTAAATTTCACGCTGTCTTAGTCTCAAATACTTGATCTGAATCGAGTAAAAAGACCAATCGAACAATCAATCAGCACATATGACTTTCCAAGAGCTCCTGCTGTGTCATCTAAACCTGATATCAACCATCTAAAGCATCACACACTTACACACTTCTGCTGACTCAACACACACATTTACTGAGATATCACTAGGCCCACACGGAAAGTGTGCCCGCAGAAAACTCAGCAGATATCCGCAAAGTGTTGCTCCATCTATTTACTTATGTAAATATGAGTAAATATATTTGTTCATATATTTTTTATTATTTATTATATATTGTATTACTGAAAAATATACAAGTGTTTAGATGATTTGTCTACAATGTGATTTGAAAAGTAACAATGTCTTATATTATGTAGTATGCGTAAGTGTATAACTGTCTTTTAGTGGATGTTTTATATGAGAGATCTTGTGTAGCTTTTACAGCAGTGCTTCTAGGGCAGGGATCACCAAACTTGTTCCTTGAGGTCCGGTGTCCTGCAGATTTTAGCTCCAACCCTAATCATAATCAAACACACCTAAACAAGCTAATCAAGGTCTTACTAGGTATACTTGAAACACCCAGGCAGGTGTGTTGAGGCAAGTTGGAGCTAAACCCTGCAGGGCACCGGACCTCCAGGAACGAGATTGGTGACCCCTGTTCTAGTTGGTTGAATCTGCATTAAAAGTTATTTATTTTATTATGGTTTAATTGAGCTTTCAGTTGAGATTTAGGTAAGTTTTCAGCTTCTACATTCATTAAATTGCTCTGCAGAAATTTTTTTTTTTTTTTTTTTTTTTACTAATTTCTGCAAAGAAATAGCAAAAAAAAAAAAAAAAAAGTCCTCAGATTGCGTCTGGCCATAGATCTATCACTCATCTGAGTCAATCTCACACTTGCGACTAAACCACCTCTAATGTTCACATTCAATAAGCAACCATATCACACTTCATTACAGAATTGACACCATCAAGAGAAAGGGCCGTGTAACAGTGGTGGCTATAACCTCTAACAAGCCCCTAAACCAGTGCAGAAAGATAACAGTGGGTTCTTGAGTTCACATCAGTGGGTCATGATGGGTAAACACACATTTACACACACAGAGTCATGTGGCCATAACTCTCCATCAATTACTGCCATTTACAAACCCACCGGATTAAAATACACGCTAACAGAAGGTCTCTGTGTCCTTCGTTTTCATTATATACCAGTTTCACTTAACACAAGCTCAGCTATTCATTCAAATTGAATTATAGAATAGAAAGAGACGCTGTCTTAACATAATTACAAACTCATGATCATTATTGTGGAAATGGCCAGTTAAGAAGCTGAAAAAGATTAGCAATTCTTTGGATGTCCATTAACTAATAATTAAGGTTTAGAATGCATTATATTACGTTACATTATACACTATCTAAAAAGCCCAGAATTGACTGATAATTTGAATAGTGAAAGTTATTACCTATATATCATTTTCAACATGTTTAATTAAAAACTATTGATTAATTTAATTTAATTTTTAATCAAACATATAAAAACATAATAAACATAATAAAATTTGTGTTTTTATAAATATTACTATATTTATTTTAAGTATTTATATTTTAATTTAGATTTTTTTAAATGTCAGTTATGAATCTATAAGAGCATTATATTTTAAAACAATAATTAAAATAACACAACTTAATTTATATAATTAAATGAATTAATTAACATTCATCCATCCATTCATTTTCAGCTTAGTCCTTTTATTAATCTGGGGCCGCCACAGCGCAATCAACCGCCAACTTATCCAGCATACGTTTTACGCAGCGGATACCCCTCCAGCTGCAACCCAACACTGGGAAGCATCAATGCAGACTCATTCACACACATACACTACAGACAATTTAGCTTCCCCAATTCACCTATACCATGTCTTTGGACTGTGGGGAAACCAGAGCACCTGGAGGAAACCCACACCAACACAGGGAGAACATGCAAACTCCGCACAGAAATACCAACTGACCCAGCCGAGGCTCGAACCAGTAATTAACTTAGTTTTCAATTTATTCTAAAGGTAATTTGAATGTACTTAGAATTACAATCACAGAAATCACAAAATAATTCAATAATTGACGCTTCTTTGTTTCAAGTTTCATAATTATTTTCATGTTTTCACACACTATACAAACATAAAATAAAAAACTATACATATATATATATACATATATATATACATATACATATATATATATATATATATATATATATATATATATATATATATATATATATAAATCCATGCAAACCATGATACAAGAACTAGGTAAATTATTTTAATATTTAAAGAAAACAAGCATATATAACTTATTCTTAAAAAATTAAACAATAAAACAGATCAAGAATCAAAGAAACATTATAACACTGCCACACTGCCATTGTGTTGGTTTAGTTGTTGTAGTGATCGTTATTACATAAACACCACCCAGAAGAAGCAGGGAGGGTTAAACTGAAGATACTTCTCAGATGTTCAACCACAGATAAAACTGGTGCAGTTCACTAGTAAACTGGGCGTGCAGAGCCACAATAACCAAACACACACTCTTATACACACAATTATACACACACAGCAGGAGGAACAGGCTCTGGAAACATCAGTTTATACTCTGTGCTTTGTGTTTTGCTCACACCCATCATTAAAGACACAAAGCAGATCCTGTATTAGGAATGTCTGTGTTTCTACCACATTAATCACACTGATGAACTGAACCACCTGCTCTCCTGCTGCCAAACACCATGTTTTAGGTTCTCAGCTGAAGACTTATTCTGCTCTCAGTTCTCCTTGAGGTCCAGCTGTGATGTAACAAGAGAAAATCTCCACAATGACATCAGCCAGAAGAAAATTAACACACAGAGGAAATGTGGTATGCAATAAGGTACAGCATTGTGCAGTATCCTACAGCAATGGCTTGTTTTTAAAAACAAAAAGTACAATTTAATTTATTTTATTACAATTCATTTATGTTTTTTAATTAAGCAAATTCATATAATCCCTGAAATGTAATATAATTTGTGTTTTCAAAAGAACATTTATTCTTTAATATTTTCTGTGTGTATGTGTTTGTCTTATAGATGAGGTGATTCCCCCAATGTGTAAAGCGTATTAAGTGTCCAGAAAAGCACTACATAAATGTAAGGAATGATTATTAATTATAGCCTAAATATTATTAATATTTATTTATTATTAATATTATTAATATTCTAAGCCTAAATGAAAATGAATAGATATTTTTAATATTAAAACTGATATAAAAACTAAATATTCATTTTTTTTATGTGTATGACATAGCCTAAATATTATTAATACTGATATTAAAAAAAATAGAATTTATAATATTGCTAGTTTATTTTGATATTTTGGAATACAGGTTTTGCTTTTAGGAGGCGACATGACAGCACTACCTACTGCGCCACTGTGCCCCCCATGTAGATTTTAAAATAAAAGCATAACTTCGGAGACATATATAATTTTAAATTTACATTTATAAGATTTATTTTTGTCTTTTTTTATAATCACTTTATAAATAACCGGCAGAGCGAATGTATTATCAAATATTTACATTTTATATTACTTTACAATTAATAGCAAGAAAATGCTTCTATTGCAGTACATTTTATTTAATTGTAATATAATAATAAAATAACTTAATTTTTATAGTCCCTTTCATAAAATAAAGTAAACAAATGAAATGAGTAAAAAAAAAATTAAATCAATTTATAACTTTGACTTAGTCCCCTTATTAATCTGGGGTCGCCAGATTGGAATAAACCGCCAACTTATCCAGCATGTTTTACGCAGCGGATACCCTTTCAGCTGCAACCCAGTACTGGGAAACAACCATACACACTCATTCACACACATACACTCGGGTCAGTTTAGTTTATTCAGTTCACCTATGCTGGTGACACAGAAATGCCAACCAGAAACTCGATCCAGTGACCTTCTTGCATGGGAATAGTGCCAACCACTGATCAAACTCATTAGATTCTCGGAATCAATCAAATTTGAGTAACACAAAATAATCATCTATATGAAAATCCTTCTCCATTACTGAAACTCTGCATTGACCAACCAAAAGCCAGAACAGCACAGATCAATTAAACATCCGCCTGTCAATCAGCAGTGATGCCTTCACGCTGATCAGCTTCACGAATTGTCCTTGAATAATAATTACTTAACAGATATCGTTTCCCAGTCATGGGATGCAGCTGCAAGGGCATACCCTGCGTAAAACATATGCTGGATAAGTAAGCGGTTCGTTCCGCTGTGGCAACCCCAGAATAATAAAGGGACTAAGTTGAAAAGAAAATGACTGAATGAACAGATTTTTCCATTATAGCTGAGGCCTTTTAATGTTTAAAGATGCAGAAGTTCAAGGCTAACAGCTGAGGCCACACCGTTGTTAAACAAACCATCATATTTGCTTAACCAACCTGAGCCTTTCAAACATTAGCTATACAAACTAGCACACGAAACAGCTCATTTGTATTATGTAAATCACAAAATTTTACAATAACTTCTGCACGTTTTGTTAAACATGGTTTGA